GATTACAAACAGCACTAGACTGAACACGCAGGTAAAATATTATTTCCTTTCAATTTTTCATTTTCTTTAAATTTTTAATCTATTGGAGAGAAGATACGTATCATGACGATATGATATGGCGTTTAGTGTGGTAAAAGTGATGCAGTTGAAAAGTCATTGGAGAATATTTAAAGATAAACTTGAGTTCTGGTAATGCGATTGCATTGTCAAAGAAAAGATGTGGAATGGATCAGAAAAGTTGATCATATAGCATGTAAGTAATGGTGTGTAATGCAAGGCTCTGGAGTCATCAAAATCATCATAAATTTGGCAGAGTCTTGGTAAAGTAACAATCACTTACACAGAAAGCTGTATATGGGACAACACACATGGTATCGGGGCTAGTACTACCCTGACTTCCTTATCTTTCTATGCTCATTACTCAGCCAGTATACATTTTCTTCCAAAATTGTTTGGCACATGACATTTATTTGTAATCTTGAACATATAGTGTAAGTTTCGTTAGATTCTGTGAGAATTCATTTTCTTTTTTTACCAGAACTCAAGTTTATCTTTAATGAAAATAAACGAAAATGAGAAGACGTGTCATTATTTGTGTGGAGATTCAGCTTTATGTTGTCAACGACAAAAAAGAAACATTTTGTTATGGGTCACAAACGTAATTAATATATCAGTTTAGAAAAATTGTCATTAAAACCTTGGAAGATATTGGTTATGCATATTGTATGCGAACACATGACTTCCTTGAAAAGAATAGGAGTTGATACGGTTGCTAAAGCAACACAAGGTGAGGCAAATGAGGGCATCTTTCGAACATGGAGGCCAAATTGTATATTGAAAAAAGGGTATGGGATCCTATTCTGCGGAACGGTTATGTTAGAAAGAGAATTTAACGTTAACCAGAAATCATATTGATGATATGGAAAGGAAAAGATTGATTCCTTTGAAAATGCATATTAGTTATCACTCAGGGGAGAGAGAGCGCGATACATTCAGAAGTTATAATGAAATTCAACGTGGGAGTGAGACGTGAACGTAATAATAATGCATGTTCACGATGCGTCATTTCGCTTGCGTTATTCCTTGCACTAATGAAGTACGTGAAGGCAAACAACACATGTTACTTATAGCTCGACATAATATCATTTTGCAATGTTCTCCTTGCATTTAACTTCAACGATAACGCTCTCACATGGTGCGTCAACGACCGCGCCATTCGCTGACGCAGTGCTTGACGCATCGTGTGCAATGGCTGTAAAGGATACTAAAATGATGTAAAAATCAATCGCTGTGTTTGTAAAGTGATTTATCGATAAATATATATGGGAATATCAAAATCATATAGCTCTGCTAGTAAGAACTTGGTGTGTATATAGAACAGAGTACTTGTCTTGAGTGTTTTAAGTCATGGAATATGAAGATTTCTTCTAGCAATTTGTTCTCCATATATGTATACAATATTTTCCAAATAACTTGTAAAGCATTTAAGTATCTAAAACCGCACTTCTCCGACCCACAACCTTCTCAGGGAATTTATCAAATAACCAAGGAGGAATAATTCAGTGTCTAAGTGCTCTACTCTATCTTCTCATCCAGCCTGTTATACTCTTACAGGATATTGGTGAGCTCTTCAGCCTTTAAGCATATTAATGCGGTCTTAGAAGTGTTTGAACCATCTAATAAGTCAAATTTAAGGAATTTAAGCTTTTATGAATACTGCGGAAAATATATCGAGTGGTGGGGAGGTGGGGGGGGGGGTGAGACATTTCACTGTCCAGCTCAAACCTGCAAAAACAAAAATGAAGTTGGATTGTATTATTTGAGGAATTTATCATATATTTGTCATCATAAACACATATATATATATAAACACACATACATACATAAATACTTACACAATAATATTATCTGAATCTCTTAGTGTAGGCTACACACATTATGATTAGATTAACATAACTGTAATAAAATGATAAGCACTTTGTGAAAAAAAAAGCATTTTAATTTCCGTGTAGGCCAAAAATGCCATTCTTTTGCGTTCAAGGTAACACGTGATTTTACTAATCATTAACATGTAATGAATGCGGGCGAAAATGAAATAACAACTAAGTCAGTACCTCGGGGTATTCATGGAGTTTCTATATATACCTCTCCATCTACTCAATTAAGCCTCTTTTCATGTGTCTAAAAGGTTATATTATCATAATTGATGAAGGCGATGGTAATTTTATACCTGTTTAGGCTACAACCTTCCATTCCCACGTACTACAATTTGAACTGTTCTTAACATCTGTTTTTGACCAGCATCTTCTACAGGTTGTACTTAAATGACTTGGATATAATTGCATTGTTACAACGAAAAAAAAGACACCTAAACATGGATAAAGATCATGTAATTGAAAATATTGGCAAGCTCTACACTGGGAGTCTGGATTAAGTTAGAAACTGATGGCCTTAGTATTGTGTAATATTACCAAATATAGTTGCTCTTTCCACGTTTGAACCTACCCCCCCCCCCCGAGCAAGATTGAATAATGCCCAACTTATTGCATAATTTGTCATGAATTGCCAAGTCTCGTGATCAGAAATGTATTATACGTATCTTTAAAAAACAACGTTTTAAAGCTTACAAGACCTGAACCTTTAATTAAAGATTTTAATCTATAAAATTTGACAGATGGAGCATGATATATAGGTCTGTCAGGTTATGAAACCCAATTTTGTTAGGGTTCCGTTTTGTCTAGATTGATTGAGCGAGCACGTTTCCATTGAAATTAGATCTTCTTTTTCAAAATTCTTCCATTCATTCTCGAGGCTGTGATATTAAAAGGGGTTAAACATGTACACTATATTATGTTTATCAAGAGCAGAAACCATGCATACGAGATGCAGAAAATGACGGAATATTAACATCAGCGGCTCCACGTGAAACAGCACACCGAAGAAAGAAATAAAACAAAGATAGAAAAAAGAAGAGAAAAGATTGATTGAAAAAAGTATGAACCGGCAGAAGAATACAAATTTCAATCATAAATGTCATTCACTTCTCTTCTCTGACTCCCAAGTATTAGGTATCCCTTTAATTTCCTCTTAAAACGAGCATATTTTTCTATTTCCTTTATACCATTGGGAAGGGAATGAAAATAAAATAAATATAGGAGCTAAAGAGAAAAGAAAATTTAAGGTACTATGAAAGAGATGGAAGGATAAGAAACGAAAAGAAAAAGAAAGAGAGCATGCTGTAACGATAACTGTTTTAACTGTCTTTTTGTTTCTTGACCTGGATTGACACAATATTTTAAATCAGTATCCTTCTCAATTTGTCAAACAATGTAATATAATTATAGTTCAGATGTTAACACGTCTGTCAGAATAAGCTCCCTTAGACATGTTAGATGTACGTAGCTACAGGTTGGCGTGATACATTGATAGCAAATATACCTGAATAAATGTATTGTAGCCAACATGTTTGCAGGGCTCTCAAAGAGAGCAGTCTTAATACTGATGAGGGTCTATCCTCGGTACACAAGGGATACTATATTTTGTATTATTCTCTATACGGCCTCCAATTTCCTCACCTTCCATCGCCCAAGTTAAGCTCGTCAAACATCTTTCAATTGGTGACATCGTCCGTTCAGTACATATTTAATATTTATCATCAACTCGTCTTCGTGTTTGCATTTTCATCCGAGGTTTAGACTTCTAAAGAGCAACCTTCATGTCCATTCTCTATCCAATTTCTCTCTCTCTCTCTCTCTCTCTCTCTCTCTTTCTTTCGTTTCCCCTCTCTCTCGCACTCTATCTCACCTCTCTCTCTCACACACTCTCTCCCCTCTCTCTCACTATCTCTCTCTTTCTCTCTCTCTCTTTCTCTCGCTCTCTCTCCATCTCTTTCTCTCTCTCCCCTCTTTCTCTCTCTAACCCACACACAAATTCTTCAATAACTGCATTTTTTTTCCTGAAAAGCTCTCGGTACTCTCTTTCTTTAAATTGGCAAGTCCTACAATGGACCCACAAGAAAGCTGCAGTGGGATAATAAGGGAAATATACAAAAAGGAAGAAAAATAAAGAGAGAGGAAGAAACAAAACAAGAAAGAAATACTGAGGAATAAAAATATAGGATGTACATGTAGCTAATCTCCCATGTGTGGTATAGAAGTAGGTTTTATACCCTTGTGATAGTAACAATATTGGAGTTTATTTCTACTTATTTTCCATATTTTTACAGTTCCTTTAAATAACAAATATATTCAACGAATTTTTCATTTCATTATTATTGACATTATCATCCACCGATTGTTCGTGCCCACTTAAAGGTACTATGTCCCATTTGCAGGCCAAAAAATGAAAAGGTTTAATTCCAACGGCATTTGAAAGATGACACTAATTTAAAACTTCCCTAGAAAAGGTGGGGCTTGAAAATGTCTTCAATTGGGAAAAATAACGACTTGTAGTTGTCAAATCGACTTAGGAGCTATATAATAGTCTTGATTTTCAGACCATTGCACCGAATGGTCATACGTTTGATGCTGCGCAAAGATTCAATCAGTTTAATTTTGGCCATCACAAGAAGTGGGATATTGATGTAGACAATTGCTCATGTACCCTTCACAGCTCATTTTATGTATGTTATTACCGAAGAAGAAAAAAAGCAAATCAGTCACTCAATAGCGTCTGACAGTGAAGTCTAGCAAGTAAACGGGTTTCCTTGCATAATTTGAATATTAGGACACTGCTAACGTTTAAATTTCACAGATAGGACATACATGACATCGTTCCTGTTTTCACAAAGTGACGGTAGTGAGAAAAATCTGCACGCAAATTGTATGCGATTTTCATTCACTACCGTCACTTCATGAAAATAGGGACGACATATTCATAATTCCTGCAAAGTTCTACAGAATTTGAGGTTGGCTGCAAAAGGGACATAGTACCTTTAATCTAATACTTCAGTAATCTTTATGGATGATCATTTAATAACGTCCCTTTTTATTATTTTGTAGCACACTCCTGAGCAGCGCCCTCTCCGTTCTGCTCTCCAAATGGGGAATCCCCTCATTCAACCTGGCGTTCAACGTTGTAGTTGTCTCCTTCATAGCAGCCACCGGTCCACACAACCCTCACTTCCCCCAGCAGGGAGGGGGACCTAGCCCGGCGGCATGGGGAGTCGAAGCATTGGATTGGCTTCAGGTTCGTTCCTGTATAATTATGCGACCCTCGTACAACTACCAGCATAACAACCCTTCTCCGACAAATACTACTCTGACAGACCCCCCCCCCCCTAATACTACTTTTTCTTAATAAATGACCAGCCACCATCATCGAATTCACTTTCTTAAGGTGTGACTGTTGTTGTTGAGGGGGACGTCGTCCGGTTTGTGATTGCCCTAGATCGTGACGTACCAAAGCAAGGGAAGGGGGCGGTGGGGGGGGGGGGGGTCAATTTTGACTTCGGGTGTTTCTTGTCCTAGAGGAGTGATCTGCCGGAAATAAGATTGAAACAGTCCCTGCCAAAGACCTATTAACAACTTGGTTAGCTTACAATTTAATTCATGAACCCAAAACCCCATATCCAAAAAACCCCACAAAACACACCATTGTTTATCATGTTCAATATTAAAGATCGGAGCCCGTATTTGTTCTCGTTCTTGCTTCAGATATATTTTGAAGATAATCTCTAGAAATGTGCCAATGAGTAATACAGGAAATAATATACGAACGAAATATTTATGTATATGTGAATGTGTAGCTTCGTGATGGGGATAGTGTAAAAATCCAATCTCCTCAAAGTATAAATTTTACGCAGGCCCTCAAAATCGTTACTTTTTAAAAACACACTCATCGGGTCGAAAGACAACCTTGAGGTGTTTTGACTCTAATCAGAGATGAAAATTGTTAATTTGTGGTAATAAACCCTTGGGAAATCATTCGTCTGATGGTTCAGCACGATCAATATGAACGTGTTCAGATCCTTTTTAGAAGAAGAGAATTATCAGATGTTAGTATTATTTTTCGCTTCTTTCCGATCTATAACGACCATTGCTGTGTAGTATTTCCTAATGGAATAGCTCTGCATCCAATCTTGATTTGTAATAGGGGTTTCAGTATGTGTCACTCTAGTGTGAAATTCCATAAGTCATGTCATCGTAAAATATTTTGATTCGGGGATCGATGAACGCTTGGAAATCGCAAAGCATGCTGGAAATGCAAAATTAAAATCTCAAATTGGAGTCGGACAGATAAAGCGTTGAAAAGTAGGTATAGAATTTAAAGACGGTATGAATATGTAAATTGTGATAGCTGACATAAATAACTTTTCAGGGAGGAGAAGGGGGCGTTGAGAGAGCAATACAAACTGTCAGCATTGTTTATACATGTATTAGGATTATTTTTTATTTTTTTTGTATTCTCGGCCCTTAGTATTCAAATATTGGTTTGATGAAGAATTTTTTTATTTTTTTATTTTTTTTTACTACTATAATCCTTATGATAATATGAACAATATTATGGTATTTAATTTGTTTTCTCCCCGCACCTTTCTCTCTCTCTCTCTCTCTCTCTCTCTCTTACTCTTTCTCTCTCACTTCCTCTCCCCCTCCCCTCTCTTTCTCCCCTCCACTCTCTTTCTCTCTCTCTTTTTTCCTTTCTCTCTCTCTCCCCCTCTCTCTCTCCCCAGTCCACTCTCTTTCTCTCTCTCTCTCTCTCTCTCTCTCCCTCTCCCTCTCTTTTTCTTATTGTACAGGTACTAGCCAGCATTCCACGAGGTATAGCCCAGTGTTATGGCAGTGATAGTCTCATTACGGGTTGTTTAATGAGTGTTGGTATGCTGGTCTGTTCCCCCATCGTCTTCAGTCACTGCCTGTTAGGCTCAATACTGGGCGCTTTAACGGGTAGGTATTTGTTTATCATTATGTCATTACTTTTTTCCCCCGAAAAAAAAAACATTTCTTCTTTTAGAGAGAGAGAGAGAGAGAGAGAGAGAGAGAGAGAGACAGAGAGACAGAGACAAAGAGATAGAGGTGAGGATATTGACAGAAAATGAGAGAGAGAGACAGAGAGACAGAGAGAGAGAGACAGAGAGAGAGACAGAGACAGAAGCAAAGAGATAGAGGTGAGGATAATGAAAGAAAATGAGAGAGAGAGAGAGAGAGAGAGAGAGAGAGAGAGAGCATTTTGGAAGGTCGTATACGACTTTATAAGCGTTAAGTGTGCGTTAAGTGTGTTCACGAGAGTGTTATTTCTACAGCACTAGTAGTCTACTTGGTTTGGCAGGTTTTCGGCTGCAAGAAGACAAATTGCATCTCTCAGTCCGAGTTTGGACACTCTCTAGTTAATAGTTTCTTTCTTTCCTCTTCTATCGACCTGTTACTGATTAACATCAATCTGGAATGGTGCTACAGCTCCGGCGTCATCACCTAAAGCTCGAAGTGTGTTGCTTTGACTGATATCTTGAAACACTTTGGTAATGATCCGTACGCAGGGGTGGGACCACTGTATGTTTAAGGATCGCAGTATTTTTAAGCGGCATAGATCTTGAAAATGTTAAGCAATCAATAATGGTTCTTAATCAACGTCACAATATCGCTTGATATCCCACTGATGTTTACTTTGCAAAGCGATACATGGAATAAATATATAACTTTCCATCAGAGAATTAAACAGCCTTGCCTCTTCCAAAAGATCCCTTAATTAAGACATACACATGTACTTCTTCCCTCAGTAAATAGATACCATTTATATCCAATTTGATGAGTCCATGTTTTTCATGTTTCTTCTTCTCATTTTGGGATTTTGTCAGCGCTTTGATAGTTTTAGTTTTTAGAGATTTTAAATGATCGATACTATTATCATTATTATCATTATTATTTATATTATTATTATTGTACACATGATTTGTTTCTTTCTTATCCCACATCCTGCATATCTTTGTCTTGTTCACCTTGCTTATCGTCTGTTTGGAGCAAGTAGTGCGTTAGATAAACACTTTACCGAGTTACATGGACGCAAATGCCTGACAATACCAATATGCGTGGGCATTGCCCAACATACATTATGCAACATACCTATTTGTAAAATAATTTCTGCTTGCACCTAACACCCATTTTGTTAATTACAAGATCGAGCACGCGATCCTTATTTACTGTGTGTAAGCCGAAATTACTCCAAGGAAACCTAACATTCATAACTGACTAATGTTGGAACGTTGCGACAAAAAACACCACATGTAGATATAGCATATTAGTAAGTGAATCTTACTGAATGTTGGCCCATCTTTTTTTTCCATTTCACTTTCCTCCATCTCCATTATGTATTCGTGTATGCCCATAAATTTACGCCATTTTAATCTTATTTCATGCATTCGATGCCTTAGCGATGGCATGCTCGGCTTCAGTGTCACTTCTGCAGGCATTACTGCAGGCTGATGCTGAATTTTATACTCGGACACCACAACTAAATTCAGCAGTATTGTTGAAACAAGACATGTTTTATTACTTACCATGCTATACCATCCACTCCATTTTAATTCCATTGGGAACCTGTCTACTTCAGCGATCTGTTTATGTCTATGGTCAAGAGTGTGTATATTTACGTAATTCGAGTAGGTTGGGTTCCTTTTCAAGCTGTTCAAATTTGGTTTGAGAGCTACTACATCAAAGATGGGAGGCAAGAGCAATCCATTTGTGGCTCTCTCTTCTTCTTTCCTTCTTTCGTTTGACGTTTAGCAGCTGTGGGGACAAATGCTGGTTCTATGAAAGCAGTATTGATAGCTAGATTCTCGGATGGGTGGAGAATGATGTATCCTTACCATGACATTTCAATTTATATTTATATTGCTATTGTTAATAATTGTTTAATGGAAATTTGATTTAATCACATTTTACAAGCAAGTTTTCATAATATAATATGCGTAAATATCATACGCAACATATATACAAAAAACAAAAAAAGAAATCTTACATTTTACTTGTAATTCGGGGTTTTCATCGATATTAACAAGTAGGTGAACAAATTACAAACGACATATATTCATATATTCTGACAAGCAAATAGGAAGAAACTTGGGATTACAGATCTTATTGCACACAGACCAATATTATCGCGTATGTACACGGAACGTCTCCCGACATAAATATGAATAGTGATAGTTATTTACGATCCTGAGTGATGACAGGTTAATAGATATGTGACATGACCAGAAAAATGCAAAAGAACTTGATATTACGTAGCGGACTGATTGTACGTACGGAGAGAGAAAGAGAGAGGAACAAAGGCATATAGGAAACGTTGAGTTCAGCAGTTCATTCCTCGGAGTTGTTTAGCAGAGCGCATAAAAACATAAAAATGACACGATTTATATTCATTTAGGTATAATCCCGCTTTAGGAATATTTTGATGGCGTTATCTTAGACTAGATGTGATCGTAATAATCTAACAAAAACACGATGAAAGAGGGAATATTCTTTCAAACTGTGTAAATGTAACATTGAATTTCTTCTATTTCTTTTTTTCGTTTCATATCAACCAAATAATCAAGTAATAATCTCGTACATGATGCCGTCATCAATTTCAAGACCATGTCAAAACTATAGAAATAATAAATGTATAGTTTATTGGTACCTATACGCTTAGCAACGCAATACAATTACCACATTTCCTGATGCAATGAGCAATCGAATGGAATTTCTATCATGTGCAAGGCAGTGCATTAAAGGTATAGACCAGTTTTGGAAATGCCCCCCTCTCAAAAAATGAAATGGAAGCTCTTATTACAAATCATGTAATAATAATAATAATAATAATAATAATAATAATAATAATAATAATAATAACGTTTTATTTACCCAGGGTAGCCACTTCAGTTATGAAACTGCTCTTCCAGCGGGCCCTGCATAACATAATATTTTATTCTACCCTTCTCCAATCTAATTTGCTGAGCGCCTAGCTAGAAGGCAGAAGGTCCCATTGTTATAAGTCTTTGGTATGACTCGGCCGGGGTTCGAACCCACGACCTCCCGTTCATGAGGCGGGCGCTCTAACCACTGAGCCACCATGCCCGTTCTAAGTAAAAGAATATGTTTTGATTATTATGTGGAGATACAAATTTTCCCGGGAAACAGCCTACTAATTGATATATTTGGTAAATTATTATATCTATCCATTCCGGATAGATATAATAATTTTTCACATAGTCCCATATACATCTTTTTGTGTACAGGGCTTGTAACTTTACCAAGACTGGGCCAAATTTCTTATCATTTTGATGATTCCAGAACCTTGCAGTACACACCAATACTTATATGCTGATCGATTCTACAACGTTTCTTTCACAATGCAATCGCATGACCAGTACTAGTCTTTACCTTTAATGATATTCATTATATTCAGTTTTAGCTGACGATAGTCATTCTGGCATCGCTGGATGAGAATCTTCCTTGAATGAATAATACCCGGTCACCCCGCTTTACATCGTCGAGGTGGAGGGGGGGGGGGGGGGGATAAATCGGCAATTGTTCTATAGACACATCGTAGTGTTGTGGTCATGCGGTGGTTAAACAAACATGCCGGGAAGAAACAAGAAAACGTTGATTATGTAGCACATAATTCCTCATTAACCTTTATGTACAGTTTCAGGTTTTAGATTCATCACATAATGAAAAATAGCTCAGTCTTGCCGAAATTCGTATGCATATAGCATACAATCCTACACTATACCGAATGACTACACAAACTTATGATACGACAGTATGGTTAAAAAATTTCAGCTGTTTATTTTTATGTTTCGAAAATGAGGGCATATGAAGAGCCTTTTTCAGGGGACTTTTTCTTCTTCTATAATAGCCTTTTCTATAATTTAATCCATTAAAAAAAAAAGAATTGAGATGCTCACACATTATTATTCTACCTCTCGCAAGACTAAATATTTTCTTTAAAAGGTTACTATCCCTCTGTAGTTGGCAGAGCGGATGAATCTTCTAGGGAGTAACCGCTTAACTGTAGATGCGAAGGTCAAGGGATCGAATACCGACACGGCACTAATATCCTTTGGCAAGATATTTACCTGCACTTACTACTCTCCACCCAGGTGTTAAATGAGTACCCGGTAGGATGCGACCGTTCATGTGGTTGGACGAGCAAGTGTGCGCTTGTAAAATGGCGACTGGCTGGAATGCTCCCCAGGGAGTGGAAAATGTGCACACATTGTGTGCGGGTAAGCCTGAATCCCATGACCGGGGTAATAATATACTTATCTGTAAAGCGCTTTGAGAGGGCCTTCCGCTTAGGCACATCGTTGGATCGGTGTATTGAGCGCTATATAAAAAAAAAAAACGGATTATTATTATTATTATCTCAGAATGTTTGCAGCAGGGTTCTTCACGAGGGCTAGCTACGATGGTCAACATTCCTGATAAGAGTTTCACATCTACTAAAGATGTGACACAAACCACATACTACAGTGGTAAAATCCCTGTCCCTCGGATACGGCGTTAAGGGAAGTTCTCATGTGGAGACGAGGGTCCCCACCTATGCAGTTAAAAACGTACTGCACCATTCTTAAAAGAGCAGGGGGGGGGGGGGGCAGTGTAATGCTTCAACTGCACATCATGTATAGATACTCGATGATTATAGTGATTTACTCTGCTTTTCCCAACCTAGGCATAGATGATGCCAAATACATAGAAATGACGCAATATTCCTTACAGTTGAATTGCTAGATACTTTTCAATGGCTGTCAAGCTTGTGCTTTAAAGTATAGATATTAGCACTCTGGGACGGTATAAGTACACATTTCGAGCTCCTAACGGACTTAACTCGTTAAAGTCGGCATGGTCGGTGCCTTATGGATCGCATTCATAACATCATGAGAAAGATTCTCGAAAGTAAATCGCGTCAACATGCTTCACTGACAACCTCTGCACTTACAGCACTTTCGTCCCCGAAATTCGATTAATATGAGTCAAGAAGATGAAGATGATCCATGTCCATCTCTTCATATCCATATTTCATTACTCTTGTTAGATGCCTTTTCTTCAAGGTCATACCGAAGTTATGGTATCTTTGAATTAATCACACTCGATGGGCCTTGAGTGCTGGGAGCGGATAAATTGGTTTTGATATGCCCGTCTTGAAGACTTAGCGCGGGAGTAAATAAGATTAGGGAGCTGTTTGAAGAGTAGCGAAGGTGACATTAAAACCAATTTAAAAATATTTACTGTCCGAGAAAATGTGGAACGAACATTTTCCTTGGGATTATTACATCAGCGAGGGTAGGCCATTTCAAAGAAAATATGATTCGTATAAACAAGATGCGATTGTTGTACACGCTTGTATGTTTGCAGTGAATGGTTTGAGATGTCGGAGAGTGCATGTATGTTCTATGAAGGGGAATGAGAGAGAGACAGAGAGAGAGGGGGAGAGGGAGAGAGAGAGAGAGAGAGAGAGAGAGAGAGGGGGGAGGGAGAGAGAGAGAGAGAGAGAGAGAGAGAGAGAGAGAGAGAGGGGAGAGGGAGAGAGAGAGAGAGAGAGAGAGAGAGAGAGAGAGAGAGAGAGAGAGAGAGAGCCTGGAGAGACAGCAGATGTGCAAGAAATACTTGGAGATCTTAAATCGAGAGAATATGGTAGAGACAGAGACAAAAGTAGACGGAGGGTAAGACAGTCGATTTGGATAGAGAGGGGTTCGAAGAAGGATATGCAAAGAAACAGACATACATACATGTTCATACAAAGAGAAAGAAAGAAAGAAAGAGAGAGAGAGAGAGAGAGAGAAAAAGAGAGAGGGGGAGAGAGAGAGAGAGAGAGAAAGAAAAAGAGAGGGTTACAATGGAATTTTAATGCCAACCTTTTCCCCTTATAATGCAGAATATTTTCATATGATGAAGATTTATAATACATACATGAGTGCTTAAAAAATATGCCAGTTTCACCTCTTGGTCTTCTGAAAAAAGAAGAATGTATGTACATTAATCGGCTGAGTAAAATATAACACATCTTCTCTGAGTGACGCTGATGCTTTCTTGACATGACTTATTTTTTTTGTCATTATCTCCTTCTTTGTAGGTCTGGCTCTTGCAGCTACCCCGGCAGAGATCTATGACGGAAGCTGGGGATACAATTCAGCTCTCACATGCGGGGCGATAGGGGGCGTCTTCTATGTATTGAATTGGTCGTCACATTTGATGGCACTTATTTCTGGTAAGTCAAAGTATGCGATCCGGAGAAGAGGGAGAAGGGTATGATAATCTTAAACACACATTACACCATTCAATCAGGGACATGTGTTTAAGAATGGTATTACCTCCATTGTTGCTATTTAACAACATTCAATTTAAGAGCTTGATACTAAGTTGTATAATTGAGCGTTTTTCAACCGGTACCCTTTAAACAAATACAAAGTTTCGCGTCACTCTAATCCTAAATTTATCATAGAAGATTAATTTTGCATCACTCTGGCATTAGTAGGTCTTTACACGTAAGGGCACATTTTTTTCTCTAAATGTTGCGAGAGAGCGAAACGACCGACGAAGGAAGATACTTTATTGACTTGAGAATGTTATTTTCTCACATAGATGAATAGCGGTTTGTTATTACAAACCGCTAAATTGATATTAATCCAAAATGAATATTAATATAAATACAGTTCTCTCGCGGCACCCCAAGAGATGTCCTGCGGCACTCCGGCTGAATGCAATTGAATCATATTAGGGTACTATGATAATGATAGTAAATAAAACAGGGAGGAAGGGGTGAACTAAAACCAAAATAACATTGCAACACAACACACTGTAGTTTAAGTATTTCCTTTAGTTTTATTACTTTTTTCTTTGCACTTCTCTAATCTGTAAATCTTTTCTTTACCCGTCTCCACAGCCATCTTCGCAGCTATGGTGAGAGGGGCAATGGCCCGATTTTTCGCTGCTGCCCAGGTCCCCGTGGTAGCCTTCCCCTTCTGCATTGTAGCTGCTCTCTTCTTATTGGTGGACAGCAACACCAAACAGCTTCTGCGCGTGCCCGGTGACCGCATGACCTACCCGGAAGAACATCGTAAACTTTTCAAGTCGACCACTGTTGGAGTGACGAACGTACAACCCGATCAAGACCCGACGTAGCTCAAGAAAAAGAAACATTCAGAACGACAATCAGTGTTTGTTTTGTATAACCTTGAACACACAAACTATGAATAATTTGATAAAGGATTGCTCTTGCATGGTGAATGTAGTTTCTTTTTAAGGACGACTTCATGCAACACTAATCTTCACATGGATAATGACGTCAACGAAGAATTTGAATGCTAACGAGGTCAATTTTCAGGGCATTGGAAATGCTGGGCATTTCTTCTTTATTTTGTTTAAAACAAAAATTATATCTGCTCATCCTGGCATACGGAATAATAATCAAACTACTCTGGTCCTATACTTCTAATTTACGAATTATACATTGGACCTGGGTTTATGATTACACACTTACAATTATTACTCAATTATGAGCAGGATAATTAATTTTAATATACTGACCAAGTGTCAAGTAACTTTTGTTTGTATAAAATGGAAACTTTATTTCCGCGGAGAATAATTGCAATGACTAAGCGCGCCTCTGGATGATATGAACTGAAATATTAATACGTCTGATTATGAAACGTTTCGTGTCGAATGCCGATTTCTTTTTTTATATCGAACTTCGCAATTATTTTTTGAGGCCCTTGTAAGAAAAGCTGTTATGATTGCAACTGACAAACCATTTTGTTGTTATTGTAGTTGTTAAATTGTCCTCTTCTCTATGGTATATCGTTTTACATTTGTCTATTTTTTACTCATTTTAAAACAATTCAGTTTGGGTCCTAAGTTATATGCTTTAAGTTAAGTAGAACGGTTTGTTCAAAGAATATGGAAAACATCCACTGCTCTCGACGTAATGCTTTTTAACAACAGATCAGTGATTTGATTTTGGCAGTCAATGATTGATATAAGTAAAACATGAGCAGCGCCCGCTATAGAACTATATTTCATAAACTCAAGATTTAGTAAGCAATGCTCTATTCACTGCCGAATACAAGGGGAAAATACAGCAACCAAATAACATTAATACGGTGGTATAAACTTAAAAGCAAATTGTTTATGGGTACAGCCCAGTTTTTACAAAATGATAATTAACAATATTGGATTGAATCAGAGTATTTGTTGCTTTGTCTATCATTTATTTCTATCACAAACAAAAAAAATTGCCAGAAGAACAATAACTTGACATAGCTCGACAATCCAGAATGAGTGATGATTAAAGATAATACATTAGGAAAACAAATGCAATATAAAAAAATACCTCAGCCGCTCTGCCGAACCGACAGATTATAGGCTATACGGTGTATTCCTGTTATTATTATTGATATTACTATCGGTATTACTATTAGTATTGATATCTTTATTTTTTGATATCATTACTATTATTATAACTATTGTTAATATTACTATCATTAGTAGTATTATTAATAATATTATTATACTGTTATTGTTTTTAGGTTATTATTATTACTAATATTATTGCTATTATTATTATTACTAATAATATTGCTATTATTATTACTACTATTATTCCTATTATATTTACTTACACTATTGCTATTATTTGAACAGTTTTTTAAAGTATTATTATTACTATAATTGCTATTATTTTTTATTATTATCATTGCTATTATTATTAATTTCATTATGATAGTATTACTATCTTTAATCATTAATTATTATTAATTATTATTGTTATTATTATTATCATTGTTTTTTTACAATGTTATTATTAATGTTATTATTATTATTAATAATACCGTGAGTAATATCATTATTATAAGTAATATATTCTTCTCCACTGTTTCAACTCGCCTGTATTTTAAACCCATAACAGACCACATAACACCATTGAATACATACATTTTAGATATTCAATGGAAAAACAGCATTTGTAGATACTAATTTTGTATAATTTTCTGGAACATTTCTTGTGTTTGCGTGTTTTTTGGTGTTGAGTTTTATGTTCGTCGTAACAAAACAAAATCAGCTTAGTGGTAAGGCCATTCTAGGTTAAACTATTTTTACTTCATTTTAAAGTATTCATTTTACTGGATAGCATTGGGTAATATTAAACTGCAATTAACAGAAGCTAGTAATTTTATCACTTAGCTTCAATGTAGTCTCCCCTTTTGTCCGCAATGCGGTAGGCCTATAATATTAATTCCATTTTCTTTGGATAACATATGTAAATATTAAAGATTAGATTTTTACAGAATAAAAATTTGTATAACATAATCACTTCTTATTTTTCGTCATTTTTTTTTTTTTTTTTTTTTTTTTTTGGGGGGGGGGGGGAGGGGTTAGATTCTTCAGTTATCCTTATTCATAAAGAATACATAGATATAGTCAAAATAAAGAGTGAGAAAAAGGATGACGTAGGACAATGGGAAAGGGTACGAGGGAGGAGCCAATCAGAATGTATTCATTTATGTATTTACCATTTTCAAATAATAGTGCATAATATAAAAACTAAAAATACATTTGTGACAGAAAGATGTTTGACGTGAATCCTTTCGAACATTAACAAAAACGTTAACAGCTCGATTTTCTATTGAAAATAGTATATGGACGCAAATTCCGACACTTTTAATATTCATCTTAAAAAACGGTAGACCATACTGATAAATAACAAATTAAATATACGTAGAGAGAGAAAGAGAGAGAGAGAGAGAGAGAGAGAGAGAGAGAGAGAGAGGGGGGGGGGGGTGGGGGAATAATAATGATGAAACAGGCAGACATTAAGTCATTCATTTGGAATGTTCCATGATTCAATCATCACAATCATATCCACACTGAAGGTTAGGATGAACAATCCCCAAACACACCTGTGTTTACACGCCCATGTTCGTATACGCCCAAGTAAAGTAATTCCACACCCTTTCAAAGTACAGTTTTTACTCAATACTAATGTCATGATCTTAAGCAAGATCTAATCGATGTTGTCTTTCATTCACATCATTCCTAGTCTTCAGAGTAATAACTAAATTCTTATGAACAGTTTCTTTCTTTCTCAGTGTAGGCCGAATCGCTTCAGTAGAATTCTACTTTATAGTTAACCTTTAAATACAATTATCAGAATAAAGTAAGAACAATCTGCGCCAAAAACAGAGAAATAATTTTAAAAATTCATATAAATCAATTACCATTTGTAATCGATAACGGAGAAAGTCAAAAGCCGTTGTCAACTCGATGAAGCAGCAATCAACAATCTTGTAAATATCATTAATGATGTTCAGTGGGGGGGGGGGGGGGGCTCTATATAAGAAATAAATAGAGAGAGAGAGAGAGAGAGAGAGAGAGAGAGAAAGAGAGAGAGAGAGAGAGATAGAGAGAGAGAGAGAGAGAGAGAGAGAGAGAGAGAGAGAGAGAGAGAGGCAAACGAGCGGAACAGAAATACAAAGAAATTGCAGTATTGTATTTCATGTATTTCAGCACAAGATCTTTTAATGATCTATTAAAGGTAATACAAAGTTAGGTATGGCGTCATGAATTTGGTTGAAATGAACATATTGGAAGCAAATGAGATCCAACAATATACAGTGATCGTTGTCGCGGTTGAAATCCGAGTCTAAAGTTATGAAATTGTAAATAATAAACTCTTTATGTTGTATAGCTCCCTCTCAAGGTCAAGATATTAATTAAGCTATAAAACAATGTTTCATGACTAAAATCAACCGATTAGCTATTGCCGTTTGGAAACTATATATCACAACTACATATTCTGAGATTTTCATGGATGCAGCTACCATTGTACAGCCGTAGGCGCTATTTGAATTTTTTTTTTAATTTACCGGGAGCACCGGTAAATTTGTATATTCAATTTATCTCGAAACCAGAAGCGTTTTAGGGGCTAAATTTTCTAGTGCTTATAATACATCCATAGGGGCATCCAAATATATCAAATTTGTAAAGAATCACTATCCACCCAATTTTCGAAATTTTCCAAAACTTTGTATTACCTTTAACACTATTTAGAGATTTAGGTAGAGTCGTCTCCGAAATAAAATGGCAATATTCAATATTTTACAGTCGCCTATGGCTTTTGTGATTAGCAAAATGTACAACAAAAATATATAATAATTGGGATAATTCGTATACATGCAAGTTTCTTAACCCTTTACTTACAATAATAAATTGACACAATTGCTGGTTTATCAGGAGTGCTGATCAAACAAAAATTCACCACAATTTTTCAAATAAGATTAACAATTTTCAATGGGTAAGGCGATGAGAAAATAAGAGAGGTGTCGTGGTCGAGTGGATACGTCGACGGACTGTCAATCTTAAGGTCCGCGTTTCGAGTCTCGCCGCGGCATTAATGTCCTTTGGTAAGACATTGATCTACATTTGCCACACTCAACCCAGGTGATGTAAATGGGTACCTGGCAGGAATTAATTCCTTGAAATGATAGAGCACCGCAGTGGCTGCCTTGAAAGCCAGGGTAATAATCGGGGCAGCGCCAGGAGCGTCACAACGTGACGGACATGTGCGCTATATAAGAAGCCACCATTGTTACTACTATTAAAAGGAAAAAAGGGATATACATGAAAGACGTGGAGAAAGAGAGAATAAGTGAAATTAAAGTTGAATCTACTTTGGGATAATAAACATATCGTGCGACTGGCGCGACTTGCTGTTTAAAGAGAAGGTTGAGTTCTAGGAAGAGGTGAAAAATAATTTGTATTATCATTGTTATTATGCAAGTGTGGAATAAAATCAGATTAAAGATGTTCTGAATGCATGGCTCTTCAAAATGCCTTAATATTCTAAATATGGCATGTAACAGCATAACATTCGGGACGGATTTTTATGACACATGTTCTTGTAGTCCCATATACATACTGTGTACCGTGCTTGTAAATTTACCAAGACTAGGCAAATTTCTTATGATTTTGATGATTCTAGAACCTTGCAGTACACACCAATACTTATATAATAGATGATTTACCTTTTCTGATCGATTCCACACCGTTTCTTTCACAATGCAATCACAATACCAAAATTGAACTTCAGCTTTAAGCTTTTTAACCAGATAGTTTCAAGGCGATGTTATATGTAGATCCGCGAAAGATTATCTTTCTAACTAAATGGTTACACACACTAAATTGTCAGTGACACGTGCTTGTGGGCACGTGATTGTTTGTACAAGGGCATGTACATGAAGGGGATGGTCGCCGTATTTGATAAACATGATGATGACTCAGTGATTAATGCGCACAAGCCTGAAAAGTCCTATAAAAAGCATTACCTTTCAAGTGCGAATATATCCCTTCTATCCATATTTCTATTAATGAGGATACTTATTATCTAATCGAAATCAATGTAAATAATTTCACGAATGTCTCGCATTGGATATGGACATAGTTATCACTCGAGGTGTTAGGAAACGTAAAATCATCAGAGAGAACAAAATAAAAAATAAAATAAAGATAGGCGTGCCCCCTGATCGAAATTCAGTAGATAAACAAACAGAAAGACAGTGGGGGGGGGGGGGGGAGATTGGGACTTCAAGCATCATCCTCTACTCAATTGGTAGCCATTTCATCCGCCAAATAAGATCGATGCTATCCGCTGGTGCCAGCACCCCTCCCCCATTTCTTAGCTTACAACGCCCACACATCGCCATTGCAACTCAAGACCTCTCAAAAACTTATTGTTTAATCTAAAAATGAAACTAATGCATACGATCGATCATAAATAAACAAACCACTCCAATATAAATGAAATAAAATCCACTAGACCATACAGTAAAACTGGACAATAAGCAGAAAATTCGATTACTTTGCAAAAGTTAGAAGGGATGGTAGCGTAAACGTGTCATGATCTAAAAGAAGTATTATGAACACCTGTTAAACACTGCGCCTTGAAATCAGACGCGTAGTCCATTTTGAATGTTATACCTTTCCGGACCTACCTTAAAGAATTAAAATTTCAAAAAGGTATAAATAGAGGTCTGATGGAACCATGAAATCCATAATTAGTGTCCTTCCAGATACTGATCACAAGCAACGAAAGACTACTCCAAGCTGATATCATCAATATCATCATGGCAGGCCGAATCATTCTCAGCGGACTCTTGGTCATCCTGGTCCTTGCTGCTGTTTGTGCCGCACAGGCTCGTAAGTATGAACACGTTTTAACCATCAGTATGGGGAACTTGAGAAGCTTTTTATGCGCTTTATTTATTTATTTTTTTTCTTCAAAAGATATCAGTGGCACTGATTTTTTGGGGGACATAGCAGACGAGTCAAATGCGTGTACGATTATGACATTTTAATAAAGGAATTATTTTCTTTTTAATTTGGTCCATATTTGTTCTGTTAAACTCTTATAGCAACCGGCAATCGGCCATCGAGACCACAACCAAGACCAAGACCAGGGAACGGTACGGGCCCACCTCCACCACCCCCAGGTAATGGAACCGGTAACCACTCACTCCCAAGCAACGGCACCGGCCCACCTCCACCAAGACCAGGTAATGGAACCGGTAACCACTCACTCCCAATCAACGGCACCGGCCCACCTCCACCAAGACCTGGTAATGGAACCGGTAACCACTCACTCCCAAGCAACGGCACCGGCCCACCTCCACCAAGACCAGGTAATGGAACCGGTAACCACTCACGTGCCGGCCGAATTGTTAAGCGCGGTAATGGATCCGGTAACCACTCACACCCAATGAACGGCACCGGTCCTCCTCCACCAAGACCTGGTAATGGAACCGGTAACCACTCACTCCCAAGCAACGGCACCGGCCCACCTCCACCAAGACCAGGGATTGGAACCGGTAACCACTCACGTGTCAGCCGAATCGTTAAGCGCGGGATTTTTTCCTCTAACTTTTCAACCCCACCCCCAGGTAACCACTCACACCCGAACAACGGTTCTTCCCCTCCTCCTCCTCCACCTAACAACGGTTCTTCCCCTCCTCCTCCTCCACCAAACAACGGTTCTTCCCCTCCTCCTCCTCCACCTAACAACGGTTCTTCCCCTCCTCCTCCTCCACCTAACAACGGTTCTTCCCCTCCTCCTCCTCCACCAAACAACGGTTCTTCCCCTCCTCCTCCTCCACCAAACAACGGTTCTTCCCCTCCTCCTCCTCCACCAAACAACGGTTCTTCACCTCCTCCTCCTCCACCAAACAACGGTTCTTCACCTCCTCCTCCTCCACCAAACAACGGTTCTTCCCCTCCTCCTCCTCCACCAAACAACGGTTCTTCCCCACCCCCTCCACCGCCAAGTAACAGCTCTACCCCTCTGTCGCCTCCCAGTGGACCCCCTCCAACAGGTTAGTAGATTATTCACCTCTTTTATTTATGTGTTTATGCAGCAAAGTTATACCCTATTCAAGTAAGAGTGTCGAAGATAATCACACCCCTTTTCAGCAAAACCTGAAAAGGGGAACGATGTTGGAGGGGATATAAATCATGTAAATTATATCACCCCTCCACACACGCACATCCATCCCACATCGTAGTCGAATAGTTTAAATTTGATAGGAGATGCGATAGTCGTGTATGTTTGATCTCCGGCACGAACTTAAGCTAGGGATTTTGTATATATTGATTCTCTTCACCCAGGTGATAAATTGATATCCGTTGGGATGCGAAAGACATTGTAGTTTGATCAGCATTGTGAACGATTGTAAAATTGCGCTTGGCTCGGGTGCTCCCTGGTCAGTGAAGAATGTGCATATACTGGTTGTAGGCAAGCCTGAATATAGTAACCAGAGTAGTAACATTTCTGTTGCCAGCTTAGAAACATTGTACTTGTATTAAACGCTAAATAAACCTCGAATATTATAGTTATTAATGTTGTTTTTGCTGTTTCTGTAGGAGATTCATGTGAGAGTGCATGCGGTGGCATGAACCCCACTGGAGCCTGCTTCTGCGATGCTGCTTGCATGAGTTATGGTGATTGCTGCCGAGATTACCAGGAAGTGTGTCAGGTAAGACTGAAATTATTGGTTTTAAGGAATAAATTCTAGGTGGTACATTGTTGGTTTAAGATTTAATCGTCAATGTTCTGACAAGTGAAATAAATTATATTCAGAAAAGATAGTAAATGTTATAAAACAAATTTAGTATTTTTATGCCTCCGTTACGAAGTAGCCGGAGGCATTATGTTTTCGGGTTGTCCGTCCGTCCGTCCGTCCGTCCGTACGTCTGTACGTACGTCTGTACGTACGTCCCGTTCTCGTGATCACGTTATCTGAAGAACGGATCAATGGATTCCTACCAAACTTTGGTCATATATGTATCTAGCAAAGTCGATGAACTGATTAGATTTTGGGGTCACGAGGTCAAAGGTCAAAGGTCACAGGGCTCATTATGTATGCAAAAACAGCTCGTGATCGCGTTATCTGAAGAACCGATGGATGGATTCCTGCCAAACTTTGGTCATGTATGTATCTTGTATAGTCGATGAACTGATTAGATTTTGGGGTCACGAGGTCAAAGGTCAAAGGTCACAGGGCTCATTATGTATGCAAAACGGCTCGTGATCGCGTTATCTGAAGAACCGATAGATGGATTCCTGCCAAACTTTGGTCATGTATGTATCTTGCAGAGCCAATGAACTGATTAGATTTTGGGGTCACGAGGTCAAAGGTCAAAGGTCACAGGGCTCATTATGTATGCAAAAACAGCTTGTGATCGCGTTATCTCAAGAACCGATTGATGGATTCCTGCCAAACTTAGGTCATGTATGTTACTTGCAGAGCCGATGAACTTATTAGATTTTGGGTAACGAGGTCAAAGGTCAAAGGTCACAGCGCCCGTTATGTATGCAAAAACAGCTTGTGATCGCGTTATCATTAGAACAGATTGATGGATTCCTGCCAAAATTAGATCATTTATGTATCTTGCAGAGCCAATGAACTGTGTAGATTCTTGGTTCATAAGGTCCAAGGTCATGGGCTCATTATGTATGCAAAAATAGCTTGTGAACGCATTCTCATTAGAACTGACAGATGGATTACTATTTAACTCTGGATATCTTGCAGAGCCAATGAGCTGAGTAGATATTAGGATCATGAGGTCAAAGTTCAAAGGGTCATATATGTATATGAGAAATTGTTTGTAATCACGATATTCTGAGAACCTGTTAATGGATTACAATTGAACTTGAATTTGAAAAATTTCTTCTGTTTTGGTTTGTAAAATTGCTCTATGACGGAGGCATCATTTTCGACTGCGCGCAGTCGAATTCCATCTAGTTTTTTTTTTATAGACATACATGATATAAAGCCTCTTCAGAACATAATATTGCTTTGGGAGAGAGCAAAATCTGAGTAAAACTCATGTTCAAAGCCTTAATGTGACATTAGGTAGAAATGGAATCATAGTTTACAAGGCTGATAAAAAAATAAACAACTAAAAGAAACAAGACACATGTACATATATTAACATTTTATAAAGACTCTAAGTTTATTAAATACAAAATTAAGAATGTAATTGACCTACATGTATGTTAAAGTTAACAACTAAATTATCCAAAGCCCTTTAACATTTGTTGTTCTTGTGTTTTCGCAGCTCAAGAACGAAAGGTAGACTGGTTGACCTTTATTCAATATTTTCAGATGTAATTATGTCACATTCTTAAAGCCCCACTGTCCTACTTGTAGCTACTTGCTCCATCTATGTAGAAACCTTCCCAAATCGGTGCCTGTTGGTCCCCGTGATCCTCTTTTTCTTATGTTAGTTGAGAGCTGAGTTAATGAGATGGCCACCTGTCAGTGACCTCGCTGTGTGGTCTAATCCCTTCTGGTCCAGTAATATTGACGGTCTTTAAAGGACGTAAATCGCGACAAATCAGTTTTCACATATATACTTCAAAATTGAAAATCCCGGTTTTCATGTCAAATGCAGTATCACATAATAATATTTAATATTAACCTAGCTTTATTAACATAGCTTAAATGCACAGATTATTAAGATGTGATATTATATTGAGAGTCCAATAGGCGAACTAGTAACATGCGAAATGTTTCTATAATTTTGTCTGAAGCTAGATGAGTCGTTTAAAGAGACTAGTAATTATGCAAAATAATTTTGTTTTATTAACTATATCCTGCCTTTTGTCTTTTTAGAGCGGGCCTTCTCCTCCAAACCCAAACCAAATATAGAGGAATGAGAATCCACGCTGGAATAGAGATCTGCTGCTTATCAAATGACAACGACTTTAGACTTTTACCATTTATGGCAACCAATCTTAACAATGAATTTCCTTATGATGGTCTGTAATTTTTTTTCTTCTATACGATTATCAAATAAAAAGAGATGAAAATTTGGGTAAAACAAAACGGGATAAATGAAAATCAAGTGCAAATTTACATCACTCGGTTTTCAGTTCATAATTCTTTGATCTGTTAATATAGTAAGCGACAACATGTTTTTACTTTGTTTCAGAAATAAAGAACTCTGTACTTACAGGATTTCATTTAAACCATTGCCCTTCGACTTTCCCAGTCCCCGGTCGACATTTGGTCAATATTTACCATCAATTGTGTACTGTAATGTATTTGCTTCACACTGCAATGAAATCTCATTTGAAAAAAAATAGTATTCCAGGTAAAATCTTTGATGAGTAAAAAATCATCATTACATATTCATGACACATTTTTTTCTTCTTTTAAAGGTACTATGTCCCATTTGCAGGCCAAAAAAAATGAAAAAGTTAAATTCCAACTGCATTTGAAAGATAATACTAATTTAGAACTTCCCTAAAAAAGGTGGGGCTTGAAAATGTCTTCAAGTGGGAAAATAACGACTATTAGTTGTCAAATCGACTTTAGGGCTATAGAGCCCAAAAGTAATAGTCTTGATTTTCAGACAATTGTAGCGAATGGTCATACGTTTTATGCTGCGCAAAGATTCAATCAGTTTAATCTTGGCCATCACAAGAAGTGGGTTATTGATGTAGACAAATGCTCATGTACCCTTTACAACTCTTTTCATGTATGTTATTACCAAAGAAGAAAAAAGCCAGTCAGTCACTCAATAGTGTCTGACAGTGAAGTCTAGCAAGTAAACAGGTTTCCTTGCATAATTTGAATATGACAACACTGCTAACGTTTAAATTTCACAGATAGGACATACATGACATATTAATAATTCCTGCAAAGTTCTACATAATTTGAGGTTGGCTGCAAAAGGGACATAGTACCTTTAAGGATATATCACATCTTTCACCTTCGGGAAGAGGTTATGTTAAAATTGCTAGTGGAGGTGATTAATATGTATATGATCATGATAATAAATATTTGCAAAACAAAAAACCTCAAATGGCTCATTTGTATTTCTTTCTTACATGTCACGTTATTATGTATTATAAGTATGTACTGATGTACGTAATGGTTGAATACAGAGAGAGTGGAGAGAGAGAGAGAGAGAGCGAGAGAGAGAGAGAGAGAGAGAGAGAGAGAGAGAGAGAGAGAGAGAGAGAGAGAGAGAGTGTGTGTCTGGGGGGGGGGTGAGAGATAGAGAAAGGGAAAAAAAAAATCAAAAACAGGGAGGGAGGGAAAGGAGCAAGGAGGGAGGAGGAAAAGGATTGGGAGATGAGAAAATGATGAGAAAATTACCTCCTCCCAGACCACTTCCCACACCTGCTGGTAAAGTCAAATTTAATTTTCAGAGTAAAACCAGCGCCTCACCCCCCCCCACCCTCTCGTACACCACTATTCTTATTTTCAGCTTTCAAATATTATTTTCTTTAAACATAGTGTATGCATGAAGTATCAGCTATCAAGTACATACCCCCTACTCTCTCTTCTACATTTCCTTCATATTTTCCTCCCTCCTCTATTTCCCAGGTCTATTCCATCTTTCTGCATACTCTCCCTTCCTATCACCTTCTTTCTCCTCACTCTAAACATCCCTCTCCTCTATTTCTCTCTTCTTTCCCTCTCACTCCCCACTTTCTCTCTTCTCTTTCCCTGTCTCTCCCCTGCCCCTTTCTCTCACTATCATATATATATATATATAAATATCTCCTCCCTCTCTCTTCTCCCCGTCTCTCTCTCTATCTCCGTTTCTCCCTCTCTCTTTCTCTCTTCTCCTCCCCTCTCTCCGTCTCCCCCTATTTTTCTTTCCCTCTCACTCCCCACTTTCTCTCTTCTCTTTCGCTCTGCACCCTTCTCACTCCCTCTGTCTCTCCCCTACCCTCTCTATCTCTCTCTTCTTCCCCTCTGGTCTCAATGTCTAAACACACCTGTCATCTCTCAAGGCTCAATACAGTAAGTTTACAAAAATGGGAGTAATTACTTATTTTATGAACAGAATACAAAAGTGTCATTTCATTGTATAGATTGTTATTTATATCGGTTTATTTATTTTAAAACTAGATTTACAAGTTTAGAACACTGAGGTCCATGAATACAGAGATTAACTGCAACAAGTTACATTGTCTGAATTGAAGTCCAGGTGTATTTTATCATGATTAAATGATCTATAAAAGTACAATAAACCTATTTATAAAAATATACCTTTGTGTAAACAAATTCTTAATAACCCGATTTGCAAACCTGGATCATACTGCAGCAATTATGGTTAAAATCACCACAGAACAAAGAACATACATCATTTATATAGATTTTAATACAATGAAAATCTCAACGAATCTAACCTGAAAATTGTGCTGTTGATGAACACTGATGTTCATGAATACTTAACTGCAACAAGTTTACGTTGTCTAAATTAAAGTACAGGTGTACTTTATCATGATTAAATGATCTATACAAGCACAATACACCTATTTATAAAAATATAAATTTGTGTAAAAAAATTCATAGAGGATAATATAACCTGATTGGCAAACCTGGAAGCTACTGGAAGAAAAGTTGGAAGGACTTTTAACACATGCAGCAATTATGGTTAAAATCACCACAGAACTAAGTACTTACATCTTTGATAGATTTTAATATTGATAATCTCAACAAACCTAACCTTACAATTGTTCTGTTGCTATGACTTGAAGTATAATATTTGTAACTTGGTACATTATGCTCAAAATTTGCAGATAGTACTTATACATCCGGTGGATACATTTGTGATACATTCAAAGGTAACAAGTTAATAACACTTCACACTGTCAAATTGTACACGTTTATCCCAAGGTTTATTCAGCCGCTGTCAGCCATAATTATGACAAACAAAACCTGAGCTCTGTTAGACTTCACATGATACACCTATATACATGTATATTAATATTGATTGTCACTATTTTATTTTTCAGGATATTTAAAAGAAGAAAACAAAAGGTTGAAAATTAAGACACAGGACTGAGGAAGCATAAAAATGCAGGGAAGTCATCTACATTTGGATAAATACTAAAAAGACCAACAATTCTACCATCTAATGATACAGATGTAAATGGCAAGATGTTAGGAAGATAAGAAGATCAACCCAGACATTCAATCTATTATATACAAGCTACATCTTTGACTAAGCACACACAACCACACAAACAAGATTTAGTACAAATGTACAAAGATTAATGTACTCAAATACAGCTGTTGAAATACCTAACTATTATATACAAAATAAAATTTAGGTTGTACCCTGTGATATTTTGGCCATTTTTATTACGAATGGTGAAAGATTTAAGTTAGCTGCACTGTATGTATGTTTCAGCCAGTCCAAACAAAACTCAATATGGCATGTGTCACCATAATACCTGAACAAAGTCACAATTCCTATTATCACTTCCAATGGCAATGATAATGATAATGCAAACATTTATAACATGCAACTTATCTTAAAGGCCCTTTGCACTACTTATAGCTACTTGCGCCCTTTACATAGCAAACAATGCCTAATCTGTGACCATCCCCATGATCCCCTTTTTCTTATGTTAATTGAGAGCTGATTTGATGAGATAACCATCTGTCAGTGACCGTGCATGGAGGTTTAATCCCTCCTGGCCAAACTAGTGCAGAGGGGCTTTAATTCAATAAACTTGACCAGATATGTATAAAAATAAAGCTGTGAAATGATTGTGGATATGCTAGAATTGACATCTAGTGATGTTGCCCTGACTTCATGGTGACGCAATACGCAAATGGTCATGAGGTAATGTATACAAATTCCCTAAATACATGTATAGGCGATCCTTAGGCATCTTTTTCCTTCTCTAAATCCCTCTTCACTCTGTCGCTCAGAGAGATGACACTCTCTGTTCTCGTGTACTCTTGTGTCTTGTGCCTATTTTTCTTTTTACCCTGAGCCTGTTCAACATCCTCTGATGCGACCTTCGACCTATCACTCCGGATAGAGGACATAGAGGAGTAGGACACCCCTTCCTCTTCAGCCGCATTCCTCACAACGGCACGGGACAGCTGATTGGCCAACAGCCTGACCTCCCCCGACCCGGGGTTATCACCTGTATGACCTTTGACCTGCTTGGGATGATCAAGCTTCAAGCTTGTTTCAGATACGCTTCTCTCTTCTGTCACCATGTCGATGACGTCCTGACGGTGCTGCCTGCTTGGCGCCCTTGAGCTGCTCCTACTCCCGCCTGCACTCCCTGGATTGAGGTCTGTCATGAACACACTCTGGTCCTCATCCTCGTCCCCCTCACTCTCGAAGCTGTCATCCTCGTACGTCATAGCCTCTTCTTGATCCTGGTGTGCCGATTTTGTGCTCTGGGGTCGAGAAGTCACTGATGTAAACGTGGAAGGTGTGAATGAGGAAACACTCCCTGCGTCATTGGCGATAGTGACAGCAGCTATGAGTGCTTCATCTTCATTCTCATCTTCAGTTCTCCCGCTACCACTGTCCTCACTCTTTATAATCCCGTCTTCATCAATCATCCCTGGTTCCTTTCCAGATAAGCTACCTGCCCTACTATCAACTGCATCGTCATCTTCTTCCTCTTCAAAGTCATCTTCATACAGGCTTCCCTCCTCATCAGCAAAGCTATCTTCAGTTGCCATGGGAACGCTGGATTGAGGTGAGGAGGCTTTGCATCGATCAGGTTCCAAGAGTTTCTCAAGTACTGGATTGTTGTTGCGTTTTTCCTGTTGCCTCTTTATTTCCATTCTACAAAATAATAAAAAATTAAAATGTAAAACCACTTAAAGTTTTGTCATAAAATCTATACACGGGAAGGCATTCCATTGAATGCTTATAATTAGTTACAACTTATGCAGTACAAATCAAACATTCATAATATTTTAGAAGTCTTACATATGTCTGCTTTATTATTTGGATAAGTCCATGATCTTCGTAAATTTGTATACTAGCCCTAATAGACAAAGATCCTGGATCAGGCAAAACATCAAGTATAATGATAACAACTTTTTTCTTCTAAATTGATGTTCATAAGACCCCTAAAACAAACTTAAAACACATTGGACATTAAATGAGCACACACCATGGACTTGCCCTTCCAGAACTATGTACTAGCAATAGCATCTAAAATGAGCAGATGACATTACATTGTCTTTTCAGTTTACTTCTAAACTACTTGCGCTACAGATATAGAACCAATTATTAACTATGCAATTATGAAATACACTTTAAAGAAGAAACATACGGCATTGCATGATCAAAGCTAGATAATTTGCAGCATATCCCCTAATAATTATTTTCTAGAGAAAAACAAAATCATAAAGTTTTCTTTCATGAAGAATGTCCAGAGTATGAGTACAGCTCACAGAAGATTTCCAACATACTATTGTCAAGAAAAGAAATCATCACAATATTAATTTCCTGAAAGATTCTGACCTGATTCCTGGAGGTAGCTTGGACAATTCTCTCTGCTTGGCCTCTTGAGCAGCCTTATCCTTGGCCTGTGGACAGTTCAAAGAAAAATTACAATTAACACTGGGTTATGACTGTGATAATACAGATCCGGGCTAACTCGGACTCGGGGACAACTCGGCCTTGCTGCAAATCCTAAACCCTAACCCTAACCCTAAAAGATTTCATTAAAAAATTCAATCATGCCGGGACAACTCGGCCCCATAATCCCAATGAGCCAAGTTGTTCCTGGGTCCGAGTTAGCCCGACTGTGATAATTAATATAGACATACATGGCATTACATTACTATGTAACGCTAGACATTTCTGTGAAAGGACAAAATTGTAACAATATGCTTAATTTTATACTTTACTTTTTCCATGATCTAGTTGTAGAACGGTAAATGTGAAAGCAAAAGTCACAACATAATATTTGAGCCAATGGTGTGTGATATTAATCTTAAAAGATACACTACATGTATTGCTGGGAATATGCTCTTGATAACCACTTAACAAAGAAAAAAGTATCAACATTCATTTCTATTAGCAAATGTGAGATACCTATGAAAGACACTCTTTACAAAAATCAAAATTATGGCCTTGCTTACCTTAGCCTTTTGTTGCTCTCTATATATCTTTACCTTTGCTCTTTCATCTGAAAACAAAGTAGACAAATATATTTTCTAAACATGTGACCAACAGGTAAAGTATGTTTATATCTTTGCTCTTAATTATTTTGCTTATGCTTTATATTTGAATACATGTACATAGCGTACATGTATATTATTCCAAAATAAATGCAACAATCGTAGCAATTATTGTTATTAAACTGAAACATCAAGATAAGATGAAATATGGGGAGCAACATTAATCCCAGGGGAGAGAAAACAATTTTAATGAAAGTAAAACACCATTTGCAAACTGATAACAGACAGAGGAATTGTAAAGTTAATTAGATCCCAGAGTGGGTCAAAGTTGTGCTGAACTGGTGATACTGTCCATATTAGCTTAATGATACTGTAACGACCCTTTAATCTTCCCTTATTAGAGCCATAGAGAGATGGTGCATTGACAACACAAAAATTATTTTTTAGGATTTGTGATACATGTATATGACAGCAGATTGAAAGGGCCTCTTTAGCCTCCCCCCCCCCCCTCCCCCCTCCACCTGACCACCCCTTATGGAACTTTTGTTTGTCCCCAAAGCTCTCTCGTAGGTCACTGGTTTCCCAGAGATTTCTTAGTTTCTCATTCATGTGCATCCAATCTCTCACCATTTTCTTTTCTATACCTCCAGGCTTCTTCAGCATTCAACATAGCATGGACACTCGTTGAGACCTGCTTCACTTTACCCTGTGGTTGGAGTATCAAGGAAATACAAGGAGGGAACAAAGGTGGGAAGGGGGGGGGGGGAGGAAACAAAGAGAGGAGTGAGAAAGGGGGAGATTATGAGGCAAAAAGAGAGAGAGGGAGACAGAAAGGGAGAGGCAGAAGGAGAGGGAGAGAGTGGGGAAGGATTTTTAGAATGACAATACAAATATATAAACATATGGAGAGAGATTCGGTTAAAGGTACTATGGCCCATTTGCAGGCCAAAAAAATGAAAGAACTAAATTCCATCGGCATTTGAAAGATAATACTAATTTAGAACTTCCCTAAGGGCTTGAAGATGTCTTTTTGTGGGAATATAATGACAGTTAGTTGTCCAATCGACTTTAGGGATTGCAATCATAGTACATAGTCTGATTTTCAGACCCTTGTACCGCATGGTGTACGTTTTGTGCTGCGCAAAGATTCAATCAGTTTAATTTGAATCGGATCAAAGATCAGAATAATATCTCTTTCCCGCTTACTGAATCATGAACATCTTTTTCAACAGAGTATCAGAACTCTCCATCAAGGAAATTTAAAGTATACTGTGTTTATTTGTGATTCAAGGGTCATTTGTGAATGAACTAGTCCTGAACTAGTCTGTTGGTCCCTGGATCAATGCATCTGTTTGCAAAAGTAAAAGTATTTTCCAAATGAAAGATAGAAAAAAGCATGAATACAAACCTGATGTCTGACTTCATAAGGAATCATCTGTTGTCTGAAGCGATACACTGTACTGATCTTATCTGCATCAATACTTTTCTGGAAGAGAAAAGATAAAAAAATTAATACAAATGAAGCTCAAAGAGTAGAGTGACTGCTGTCATTCACATCTTGAGAAATATTCTATGTCTAGTTGCATCATTTAATTGGTAATTTTAACTATATTGAATGAGATAACCCGAAAATAAAATATTAATTTGCATTTATTAGTGCTGGCTACAGCACTTCAAAAGGAATATAAGTGTGTGCTCCTTTCATAGGTATATGGATAAAGACATTATTGTGAATTTAAATCCAGTGAAATAATTGAAAGCAGGAGAGATGGAGACTGGGGGTCTTTCTTCCCCACCACCCCCCTACCATTTTAATGTATAGAAATCTAAAGAAACACTGAGACAGACAGGGGGAGACATACATACAAACAGAGAGACACAAGGACAAAAATGAGAGAGAGAGAGAAAAAAGTGACAAAGAGAGAGAGAGAGAGAGAAAGAAAGAGAGAACAATACTTGAATTAAGAATACTTACCAGAGCAGATTGAGCAGTCTTGGCTAGTCTCTCTATCTCTGACATTTGAACTCTGGTCTTCTTCTGAGGGAGTGACCTGATCCTAGGCATGGTACCATGATGAGATGCATTTTCTCCTTTTCTCCTGCCGTCATCTTGAGAGGAGTCTGCTCCTTGCTTCTCTCCATCCTTCCTCTTTTCATCCTCATTAGCTATCAGATATGCCAACTCTAACTTCACCTGATAAAATTTGTGAAGAAGAAAAAAAAAAAATTTGCCAATATTGTTCTTTTCAAATCACATATATCTTTACATGTACACTGTATTGTACAGCGTGAATTTTTTAACGCAAGTACAATGATTTTCCTCAACTGTTTTGCAGAACATGATACTGTCATGATATGACCTGTATGCAATCACTAAATGGTGACATGTACAATAAGAATTCCCATCATTATGAAAAAAAAAATGTTTACATTATCTCATATGTAATTTTGATATATGATAATCGTACGCAGACAAATCTAATTGTATCATCGTCGGTGGGGTGACAAAACTCATCTCAAAAATCATGAATTATCAGGAGAGCGAAAAAAAATTCCTGTCTCAACAAATTTATTGCTGTGACACCGTCCTTTCTTTTTAAAACTGGAATATTTATACAATTTTTAATGTCATTGTTGAAATACAGTAAAATAATTGTTTGTATATATATAAAAGTGAGTTACGAGGTTTTTGCGTTTATCTACATTGAGATACGAGTTTTTAGTTTGTATTCAAATTGAGATACGAGTTCTTACTTTCAACTCTGAATGAGTTATGAGGATTTGGTTGAATAAGTTACAAGGATTTGAATACACTAACTTTGGTACTGATAGGCCATGTGTGAGTTACGAGGAAAAGGAATTACGTATATTATGTTACAAGGTTTTGTCAGTGCAGCTTCAGAGGGGGTTAAAGTTACGAGGTTTAGTTTAAGGGTGTTTGTGTGGAATTTGTGAAAAAACCGAGAAGGAGGCGTTCCATGGATTTATCAGGTGGTGTCGTAGGCCATTAGGTACAAAATTATGCAACAAAATCAAAATCTCAAAAAATTGAGATAGTGTACAAGGTTTTGTCACCCCACCGACGTCATATTCTGTTAATGGCCTTCTTTAAATTAAACACAGAGGATTGTTCGTTCGTTCGTGTATCCTTAGATCAAGATAGTTATGTTGAGTTCCTTAATTAAATTAAATTGAATTCAATTAAGTTATTCCATCTGCAATGGCCATTTCATTAACAAGGGCCAGGTCTTCATCTGTGCAACCCGTTACGCCGCACTGCAAGATGTGGTTCATCGTCTGAGTCTCTCCACAGTCACAGAGTATCTTCGTCTTGGGCATAGCCCCATCTTACCATATTGACCTTACACCCCCCATTCTCGTCCGCATTCGATTTAGGCATTGCCACTCCGGCCACTTCAGGTTAAGTCCTTAACACAGAGGGTAACATGAATGTAGTGAAACCACACAATATCTATCCAGTTTATTGACTAAAGTAGTAAAGTTACTGTCAAATTGCACTGAAGAATAGTGAATACTCACCACCAGTGGGTGTGTACTGGTCAGTCCTTGCCCAGAGGTGTCAAATCTCTGCTCAACCCTCTCTCTGTTCAAATATCTCTCCCTGTTCAAAAAGAGAAAATAAAGATCTTTATAAAAGGGTAGTCTACCCTGGTACTAACAAATTGTTTGGGGGAACTCCTAGACTACATTAAACATTATTAAAGTCTGTGAGAACAAAAAAAGCAGTCAATGGGTTAAGAAGATGGTTTTAATGAAAACACATAAAGTAAAAATCTAAGCAATTCATCATTACGGTCCCTAACTTAACACACGCGAGTGCCCGCACCCCACTGTCGGTACAGTATGCAATTGTATTGTGTAGCAGTTGCCGTGAATCCTGTGAGAAAGTATATTATAAGTCTTTGTTTTTAGGAATAATACTCAAAAAAATTATGAAAATTGACACAAAACAGGTAAGAAACATAACGACTTTTAAATCATGACCATTATTTGAACAATTGATGAAGATTTAGTCAATTTTCGGTATGTTTTAGTAGGGTATCTCCACCCAGGTATTACGGGTCAAAGTCTAGATACACTTCTGTTCTGAACTAGCGCTGATCTATCAACTAATTGAATCAAAGTATAATTGTAGACCCGGCCTATGGCTATGTCATGCTGATGATCAAAGACTCAGTAAAAGAATATCAATGCTTTGCATGATAGTAAAATAAACTAAACAACAAAACATGTCTTAATCATAAAACTGAGAAACTCCCATTCACTCACTGCAGCAAAGCATGTTATTACTCGGTCTAGTACTAGTAGCCAATTCTAATGCCTTTCACTCGGTGCAAGTTTCGTTTCATCACACAGTGAGTTGGTTACACATATCTAAGTGCGTGGGACTGGCATAAATAAAGGGCAGAACATTGGATATTTAGCGCTGAAAATAGAGTCAAATGAACACCAAAATTGATCCACTTACAATTTACGTGTTATCCGCTTTGAGACCTTTGGCTCCTCGTTCATGTTGTTGGCATAAGTGAACACAATAGTCCCGTATAATTCTACATTTCCATTGATAAAATATTGAGCGTCATTTGTTGCTCGTATCAACAACCTTTGACCTCAATGTCGTAGACTCGGAATAATGGATGCCAGCTGTTTATTCACGTAAAAATCAATTTAAATGAAATGAAGTTTCGTATATACTTATAGAAAGATTTCACGGGCAAAATTGACAACATCTGACTATAGAAATAATAATAATCATGCATCCCTGATAGTAATTTCAGTAAATCAGCATATTTTAAAGCGAACTACATGTACATGTAGTCAGACCGCAGCCGGTGCGAAAACCCTCTATTCTATTCAGCACGTATATGCAAGAATTTACGTGTCTTGCATGCGTAGTACAGACGGTCTTTCCAATCGGTAGTTTTTGCCTTTATAATTGTTCACTTATCATGAAATTGGTCTTATTTTAAATGTTATTACTTTGTTTCACATATTTAAGTTGATTTTATATGTATATTGTAAATATTTATTGATTTTTTTTTTTACTGAAGTTGAAATAAAATATATCATCAATCAATCAGTATTAGATCTATACGAAGGACAACAATACTGTTTTCTCCCCGTTTTTGTTCCCGTTTTCTCCATCAAAAATAAAGTTTTTCAGTCCGAATGCTCACATAGGCAGAAGATTCGAGGAAATAGTATAAATGAGATAGCACCAGTGATAAAGATTGATGTGAAATGTGAAAAATAGAGATACGGGGTGGGGGGGGGGGGGGGGGGTGACAGTCAGAGAGACTGAAAGAGACAAGCGAAGACTGAGGTATCAAGTCAGGTTCCGCTGAATAATATTTAGCGGCCCGGCCCCGACAGTTGCCTTCGACAGCTAATGGCACCCAATTGCGTTTGCGCCCAAATCCTTAATATTTTAACTTTATGCATCTCCGATTTGTTTTGAAAAGCGAATTAAGCGATATTATTCTAATTTCAATTTCTCCGCATGAGTTTGAAGTTGTTTGCCACTCTTGAAATGTCACTACAGCAACTGCTGATTATTTAACTGTAGCAAAATCGTGTGTCCTCCCCAGGCGCGTACTCAAGGGGGGGGGGGGGGGGGTAATTAAAACCCCTCAAGTTTTCTGTAAGTTTAAACAAAAAAGTTTTTTAAAAATGTGTGCAAAAGGGGGCGAAAAGAAAAGTATATGAAGGAAATGTAGAACATGTACTTCATAAAATACATACTTCATACAAACACTATGTTAAAGAAATTATTGTTTGAAAGCGGAAATAAGAGATGCGCAGTAGGATGAGTTCACTGATAGAGGGGGGGGGGGGGGGGCACTGGTTTTACTCTGAAAATCAATTTGACTTTACCAACAGGTGTGGCAAGCGGTCCGTGAGTTTATTTTCTCGTCATTTTCTCTTCTCCCTTTCCATTTCCTCCTCTCTCGCTTTTCCTTTCTCTCCTTTTTTGATTTTAAAAAAGAACTTTTACTTTCTCTATCTCTCAACCTCCTCTCGCTCTCTCTCTCTCTCTCTCTCTCTCCCTCCCCCTCTCTCTCTCTCTCTCGCTCGTTCTCTCTAATAATAATAATAATAATACATATGATTTATAAGGCGCCAAATCCACTTGACAGTCAAATGCTCAAGGCGCAGCTTGTGCAAAAGATGAAATACATACATGATACATTTATACGAAGTGCGATAGGAAAGGTACAGACATGAAAGGTAATGGTAATCAATTATAAGCACTCTGCACTCTCTCTGTATACATCCTTATACAACCCGTATGTACACCATTACAATTTTACTTAGATCAGGGAGGTAGATGTGTGCGAGTGTATGATATCACACCCACATCCACACACGACCCCACCCTCATATGTAGGCCTATACCCACACGAATCAATTTCATATCCTCCCGGGAAGAGCATGAAGAATGTTTAACTTATAATACATATTAACGTGACATGTAAGAAAGAAAAACAAATGAGCCACTTGAGTTTTTTTTTGTTTTGCAAATATATATTATCATGATCATACATAATCACCTCTACTAGCAATTTCACCCTAGCCCCTTTCTGAAAGAGAAGATGATATCACCTGGTCTGATTAATTCGCAAAGGAGTTTTCGATGCAGTATAAAGCAATAAACTACATTACACAATTCAAAACGAGTATCAAACCATTGATGACCAGTGACAGCTAGTTCTTGAGGATCAAGAAAGTTCAGAAGTCAATGGCTTAAATAAAATCCTGTAAGTAGGCTACTTTCTTTTTCATTTCTGAAGCAAAGTGAATGCGGGTAGCCGGTTACTCTATCACCCGATCAAAGAATTATGAAATAAGTGATGTAACTTTGCACTTGATTTTCATTAAATCCGTTTAGTTTTGCCCAATCTTTCATCTCTTATCATTTCATGATCGTATAGAAGAAAAACAAAACTACATGAAAGGCCTAGATCATCATAAGGAAACTAATATTTAAGATTGGTTGCCATTCGTTGCCGTTAATTGTGACTAAATTCGTTGTCATTTGATAAACAGCAGTCTTCTAGTCCTGCGTGGAATCAGCTTTTCGTTCGTCTACACTTGGTTTGGGTTCGGAGGAGAAGGCCTCTCTAAAAGGACGAAATGAAGGATATGGTTAAATTATGGTTTCTTTTCTAATGTCTGTGACGACTCGTCTAGCTTTAGACATACTCACGAAATGATTTCTCATGCTGCTTATTGCATATCGCACTCTTAATATGATATCACATCTGAATAATATCTTCATGCATTTGACATGAAAACAGGAACATTTTTCCCATTTTGATAAACTTTGGTGTTACGACTAGTTGAAACAACTTAAAACAGACGGCAATATTAGGGCAATCTGTATTGAACAGATTTTCATTTAACATTAAGGTTTTTCCAGAAAAGGATATGCTTTGTCTTCAACGATCCTACATGAATGGCGGTAACCTTGCTGTATAACCAAATATATACATGTAAAAGAGATGAATACTCTACTTACATGTTGAAGGGGGTCCACTAGGAGGCGGTGGAGGGGCAGAACCGTCACGTGGTGGAGGAGGAGGAGGGGAAGAACCGTCGCGTGGTGGAGGAGGGCGAGGGGAAGAACCGTCGCGTGGTGGAGGAGGTGGAGGGGAAGAACCGTCGCCTGGTGGAGGAGGAGAGGCAGCACGTTTGCTTGGTGGAGGAGGTGGAGGGGAAGAACCGTCGCGTGGTGGAGGAGGGCGAGGGGAAGAACCGTCGCGTGGTGGAGGAGGTGGAGGGGAAGAACCGTCGCGTGGTGGAGGAGGAGGAGGGGAAGAACCGTCGCGTGGTGGAGGAGGGCGAGGGGAAGAACCGTCGCGTGGTGGAGGAGGTGGAGGGGAAGAGCCGTCGCCTGGTGGAGGAGGAGAGGCAGCACGTTTGCTTGGTGGAGGAGGTGGAGGGGAAGAACCATCGCGTGGTGGAGGAGGAGGCGGGGAAGAACCGTCGCGTGGTGGAGGAGGTGGAGGGGAAGAACCGTCGCGTGGTGGAGGAGGAGGAGGGGAAGCACCGTCACGTGGTGGAGGAGGAGAGTCAGAACGTTTGCTTGGTGGAGGAGGAGGAGGGGCAGAACCGTTGTTTGGAGGTGGAGGAGGTGGGCCAGTACTGTTGCCTGGTCTTGGTCTTGGGCGTGGTCTCTGTGGCTGATCGCCGCTTGCTTACGAATTTAAGAGAAAAAATACGGACCAACTAAAAACATACTTCTGCACAGTCTTATATGAAATTTTGTTAACGTACATGCACTTTATTCGCCTCATATGACTGCTCAGTACCTAATGCCATTGATATCTTTAACAAATACCTTTTTAGATTTAGCACATGGAAAGCTTGAAAAGTTTTCCGCATCGATGATCCAAATATGTTTATACTTACGAGCTTGTGCGGCACAAACAGCAGCAAGGACCAGGATGACCAAGAGTCCGCTGAGAATGATTCGGCTTGCCATGATGATATTGATGATATCAGCTTGAAGTGGTCTTTGGTTGCTTGTGATCAGTATCTTGAAGGACACTGACTATGGCTTTCATGGTTCTACCAGCCCTCTTTTTATACATTTCCCAAGTCTGAATTTTTTAAGGTAGATCCTAAAAGGTATATCATTCAGAGTGTGCGAAGTGTTAGATTTCAAGGCGCAATGTTTACCAATCCTCACATGTTTCTGTCTACTTCTCTTAGAAGGCGACACATTACCATTCCTTCTAACTGTTGATAAGAAAACGGTGTCTCCGATCATCGTCCATCTGTTCGTGTTTAGTTTGTCTGTATTGTCTAATGGATTTTATTTCGTTTATATTGGAGCGGTGTTCTTATTTATGAGCAAACGTCTGCGTTTGTTTTATTCTTTGATTATGTAGTCCCACCACAAACTTTTTAGATGACATGAGTTGCAATGACGTAGTGTGGGCTAAGCAAGGGGGGGGGGGGCGATGGTATCAGTGTCTGGCACTTCTTTTTGTTCCGGTGGGAGAAATGTGAATAAAAAGGTTTCAATTAATTGGACGGAGGTGGAGGAAGTTCTTTCACCTCTTTTCCGTGTTCCCCCTCTTTCTGTCTCTCTGCTTCTCTCTTTCTCCCCTCTCTGTCTCTATTTGTCTGTCTTTGTCTATAATGTGTATTTGACTTCTCACTCAAACACAATTACATATTTCCAATTTTTTTTCTCTATTCTTTCTTTTTATCTTTATCTAGTCACGTCAGTTCATGGAATACAAAATCTAGGTATAATACCTATGATAGGAGCATTCGCTTTTATTTCTTTTTTAAGTACTGTAACCAGCAATAATACATGCATTCGTTCATCATTATGAATGTTGCATGTTGGATTTGTATTGCACAGGTCGTATCTATTTACAAGCATTTACTGGAATGCTTAATTTTATGACAAAACTTTAAGTGATTTCACATTTTATTATTATTTTGTAGAATAGAGATATAGGGGAGGGGCAGAAGAAGTGCAACATCACTTCAGTACTTGAGAAACTCTCGGATCCTGATCGAAACCTCCTCACCTCAACACAATATTACCATGGCAACTGAAGGTGACATTACTGATGTAGAAGAAAGCCTCCGTGAAGATGCTATTGAATGTCGTTGATAGTAGGGTAGGTAGCTCCTCTGGAAAGGAACCTTGGGTGACCGATGAAGATGGGATTATAAAGAATGAGGACAGTGGTAGCGGGATAATGGAAGATGAGAACGAACCTTCCACCTTTAAATCAGTTATTTCACATTTTATTATTATTTTGTAGAATAGAGAT